ATACATTATTTGCAAAATATTTATCGAAATTGAGAGAATGGCCGACAAAAAAAAAAACCTCAGTCCATTTTTTTTCACAGACATTAGTATTTTTTTCTCAAAAATCCAACTCCAATTGAATAAATATAATCAAATTGAATACATGTGATGATAAACAACACGATAACGAATCAAAACCTTATGAATTTAATACATGATTTGCAAAATATTGACTGAATTTCATATAATTGCGAAAAAAAAAAAAAACACAGTTCTTACTTGTTTTTCATGCACCCGTGCCTTCAAATTCAGAATTGATATGTATTCCTTCAAAATAATCACAAATTACGAACAAAAACTTTTGAACAACACTCTTACGATCAATCACCCTGAAATTTTACAAAAAGGATGCCTTCTTTCACTTGAAATCAGTGAAATGGCGAAAACCTTAAAACACACTCTTTGATCCAAAATATTATGATCAAAATTGGTGCTTTTTACTATCTTTATTTGACTGAAATGGCTGAAAATTTTGAATTAAAGCCTGCAAGATTCGATTATAAGGCTGAAAAAGATGAAAAATGATAATAAAATGACAAAAAAAATTGAATTCGTAAAGAACACTGTGCAGCCCGTGTTCTTGGGCGAGACTCGGTGAGACTTGGCGATTCACTATTGGGAATCGCCCGGTTCTCTCTGGACACAGGTGATTCCCGATTTTATAGTGGAACCGGTACGGTGTATGTCGATTCCCGAGTCGAACCGGGCGAGTCAGACTCGACTCGATGAGTTTTTAAACCTTAGTTCTAATCATTGTAATGAATCACATATGATTTAGATCTAATAGTACTGGACTACTTTGATTCCTTTTAGAAAGCATAGATCAAAGCTGTTGAAAACTACTAACTTTGATTCCTTCCAAAAAAAAAAAAAATATCAATCATAGCAATTGGGAATTATTAGTTCTGAACCACTCATTCAAAGAATCAAAGAAGTCCATAGCTAATAGTTCTAGATTGCTTTGATACGTTACAAAAACAAATTTATAGGTCAATGGGGTCCAAACCGATGGTATTTTGAAAAAAAAACTAAAAAAATACTTGCACAAGGTATAAAATATGTTGGAATTTTTTAGGGAAAAATATACAATGAGACCATTTACCTTTGGTGCAAGATGGATATAATGGATCTTGACCATTGGATGTGAAATTCGATCTTTCTTGAGCTTTGTAATACACCCAAGCTATCAATTTTTTCATCGGATGATTATAAGTAATTGTGACCTTCTTGTACCAAAGTTAAACAGTCTTGTACTCTCATTATATATAGTCTCATCTTTTAGGCACCACTAATTATAAAGGAGATTAACAATAAAATCTCTCATTGTATACAGTCTCATTACACCAGTAATTATAAAAGAGATTAACAATAAAATCTAGGGAAAATTTTGTATAAAACTCTAATTCCTCATATTATTTTATTGTAGACCTTACTTGCGTTTTTATTTTAAGCGGCATCAGGAAAGATTTTACCGTATCCCATCATTTCTTATCTCCCTCTTTTGTTTTTTATCATAAAAATTAGTCTCAACAAATCTTTTTATACCATTTCAACTCAAAAAACTTTTTAACCATCTTCTTCCCTTTCCACCCATTAAAAATGTTTTTAACGGTACATTGGAAGTGTATCATTGACTAAATTGCTCAAGGTTGATCAAATAGAGAGCGAAGATTGTTAAAGGCGTTGCATGCCACAATTCTCAATGGATCTCTAGAAAAACTTGGAGCTTGAAAAGTGGTGGAAAATATAAATTGGTCACCTCAAATTTAAAAGTCCTTGTTTAATACCATGTTCAAATAATATGGTACCGGCAATTTCCCTGTTTGATAACTTGGAAAGTTAGAAATCACTTGTTTTAATAACTCATTACCTAATTATGTAAAGGCTAAGTTAGGGTACTCATACATGTGAGTATTTACTGAAAGAAAATTGTTTCATGAGGGCTTGACCACATTTCTAAATATGCGGTCCAAAAAGTGTAAAGCATCCAATTTGTCAAAAAAAAAAAAAGTGTAAAGCATCCATCTTAAAGATGGATGTAAGTACTTGTTCCATCTAAAAACAATAGAAACTAACGGTCCAAATGTTTTTTACTAGAATTATTATTTTTAGTTTTTAAAATTTATTTATTTTTCATATTCATCATCTCCACGTTAAAGATTACATATCTTTAAAAATTAAGTCTGAAAATCCATCTCAAACATAGATTTATTGAGAGGTCCGCATTTCTACATATGCAGGCTTGGCCGCATACAAACCGGGTCCTTTACCTAATAAGTTAATGTACTCAATATTTTTGGAGCCTG